AGATCCTTACCACTGCACTCCAGCCTAGGCAACAGAGCCAGACTCTGTCTCAAAAAAAATAAAAATTAAAAAAAAATAAAAACGTTTTTTAAATAAGAAGGCAAAGTCAGACAAGTGACAGATTGGAAAAATATTTACAACATGAAACGCAAGGGTTTAGGTGCCATTATATGTTATATATACAACCACAGGATAGATATTGAACATCAATAGCCATTAAGAAAATGCAAATTGCTGGCCAGGCTCATTGATTCACACCAATAATCCCTGCACTTTGGGAGGCCAAGGCAGGTGGATCACAAGGTCAACAGATCAAGACCATCCTGGCCAACATGGTGAAACCCCGTCTCTACTAAAAATACAAAAATTAGCTAGGCGTGGTGGTGGGTACCTGTAGTCATAGCTACTCGGGAGGCTGAGGCAGGAGAATCGCTTGAACCTGGGAGGCAGAGGTTGCATTGAGCCGAGATCGCACCACACTCTAGCCTGGCGACAGAGTAAGACTCCATCTCAAAAAAAAAATGCAAATTACGACCATGAAAAATTTCAAAGTTTGACCATATCTAGTGCTGATGAGGATGTGAAGGAACTGGAACTCTTACACACTGCTGGTAGGAATGCAAAATGATACAACGACTTTGCAACACAGTTTGACAATTTTTGTTTTGTTTCTTTGCAGTGACAGGGTCTCTATGCTGCACAGGCTGGTCTTAAAATCCTGGCTTCAAGTAATTCTCACACTTCAGCTCCCCAAAGGGCTGGGACTACAGATGTGAGCCACAGCAGCCAGCCCTACAGTCTGGCAGTTTTTACAAAGCACGTATTTACCACATGCCTCAGCAGTCCCACTCCTAGGTACAACAATGCTGACCCCCATCCATAGTTTCACTTCCTGCAGTTTCAGTAAATAAACAATTCATTTGTAAGTTTTAAATTGCATGCCATTCTGAGTAGTGTGATAAATCTTGCACAGTTCTAACAGGACATAAATCATCCCTTGGTCCAGTATACATACACACTGTACACACTATGTGCCTGTTAGTTATTTAGCAGCCCTCTCGGTTATCAGATGGTCTAGACTGTGGCAATATCCCAGTGCTTGGTAAAGCAACCCTTACTTTATTTAACTGTGGCCCCAAAGTACAAGAGAGTGATGCTGACATATTGTTAAAATGGTTCTGTTTAATATCGGTTATTGTCAATCTCTTACTGAACCTAATTCATAAATTAAACTTTGTCATCAGAATGCATCATGAAAAAACATGGTATATACAGGGTTTGGGACTATCCACAGCCTCAGGCATTCACTAGGGGTCTTGGAACACAAGCCCTGCAAATAAGAAGGGTGCTACTGTACTGACACAACATAATGAAAGCATCTGTTGATACAAAGACTTGAACATGAATGTTCACAGCAGCTTATAATATTTATAATAGTCCAAACTAGAAACAACTGAATATGTTCATCCACTGATAAAAGGATGGACACACTGTGGTATATCCACACAATGGAATACTACTTAGCAATAAAAAGGAATAAACTGGCCGGGTGCGGTGGCTCAAGCCTGTAATCCCAGCACTTTGGGAGGCCGAGGCGGGTGGATCACAAGGTCAAGAGATCGAGACCATCTTGGTCAACATGGTGAAACCCCGTCTCTACTAAAAATACAAAAAAAAATAGCTGGGCATGGTGGCGCGTGCCTGTAATCCCAGCTACTCAGGAGGCTGAGGCAGGAGAATTGCCTGAACCCGGGAGGCGGAGGTTGCGGTGAGCCGAGATCGCGCCATTGCACTCCAGCCTGGGTAACAAGAGCGAAACTCCGTCTCAAAAAAAAAAAAAAAAAAAAAAAAGGAATAAACTATGGATACATGCTGTAACGACGCGGATACATCTCAGAATAATTTTGCTGAGTAAAAACAGCCACGCTGGGGGGGGGGAAAAAAAAACTCAAAAGAGTGCACATCACATGATTCCACTTAAACACCAATCTTGGAAATGCAAACTATAAAGCACAGTGATTCAGGGCAGACGAGTGGCTGCTGGGGGATGGGGCATGGGGAAAGGGGAACACAGAGACGGGCTGGAGGGTGGGCTCACCAAGGGTACTTGACACTGGAGGGTGATGAGCATGTTGACTATCTTGACTGTGGCTGGCACAGATGTTTGGAAACAGTCGTTCTACTGGGAGAATACACTGGTACAGCCACTTTGAGGAGTGGCCTATCTGGTGAAACTAAAGATCTGTGTATTTCCTGGCACAGTACTTCTAAGCCTGGGCAGAGCCCCCAATGCTGAGATCAGTAAACTGCAGCCCACAGCCTAGACCTTGTTTTAGTAAAGTGTGTTTTATTGAGTGTAGCCGCACATGTGCATTTACATTGTCTAATGCTGCATTCATGCTACGTTGGCAGAGTTCAATAGCTGCAACAGAGAACATCTGGCTCAGAAAACCTAAAGTATTTACTATCTGTCCCTTCACAGAAAGTGGCCTGCTTCTTGCTGGAAGAGACACTGGCTCTTGAAAGCAACCTGCCTAACAGATCAACAATAAGATGACATTAGAAACTCACAAAACTTCACGATGTACATGCAAAGTAAAGATACACACCAAGTACATCCTAGGGACTGCCCTCAGGGGAACGGGACTGGGGCAGGGGAGCAAAAGGCTTTGGCTCTTCCTACATGTTTTCTTTTTAAGACAGTCTTGCTCTGTCATCCAGGCGCGAGTGCAGTGGCACAATCACCACTTAATGCAACCAGTGCCTCCTGGGACCAAGCGATTCTCATGCTTCGGCCTCCTGAGTAGCTGAGACTACAAGTGCACACCAGTATGCCCAGCTAATTTTTGTATTTTTAGTAGAGAAGGGGTTTGGCCATGTTGGCCAGGCTGATCTCAAACTCATGTCCTCAAGTGATCCGCCCACCTTGGCTTCTCAAAATGCTGGGATTACAGGTGTAAGCCACCACGCCTGGCCACATTTTTATTTATTTAAAAAAAAAAAAAAGTAGCTGGCCGGGCGTGGTGGCTCACGCCTGTAATCCTAGCACTTAGGGAGGCCGAGGCAGGTGGATCACGAGGTCAGATCAAGACCATCCTGGTCAACATGGTGAAACCCCGTCTCTACCAAAATACAAAAACTAGCTGGGTGTGGTGGCACATGCGTATAGTCCCAGCTACTCGGGAGGCTAAGGCAGAATTGCTTGAACCCAGGAGGCAGAGGTTGCAGTGAGCTGAGATCGCAGCACTCCAGCCTGGCGACAGAGGAAGACTCCGTCTCAAAAAAATAAAGGTAACAAAAATGTTTTAAGAAGACCAACAAGTTAAAGTCTGATGTTTATCAATATCCTAAAGAAAATCACACAGACACTTGCTGATTCTCCCCTACCTAACTGCAACGTACATCACCCCTGACTTTGAAGTACTCACTAATTACTCTTTTTCAAAGCAGCAGATGTTCACAAAAAAAAGATATTTTTCCTTTTATCTTCTGAAGCCAAAAGATTTCTCAATCTTAAATAATTTACTCTTCCGAGGACACTTTGAAACACAATCCTAATATGCTCTGCATAAACATCATAGCTATAAAATTTAAACCAATGGATGCTTCAAAGGTGACCTCCACTAGGAGCCTGGAGGAACACATTCAAGGTTTTTGACTGGGTCTCAGAATCACCACCACGGACACCAGGACCACCCCTCATGCATATGGAAAGGGCTATGGGGTATTAACATTCAACAGAAAACAGGCTGTAGAAGGCATTTCTCCTCTCAGCAAGCAAACAGTGGTAATGTCAGCAAAGCCTCCTTCGACAACATTCCCAGTTATTATTGTTAAAAGGGCTCCCTCTACTGTTAAGTCTCAATTTTACAGTTCTCATTGGCTATTTCAAGCCCTAGCTTCATGACAAACTAGGACATGTTAAGCAGAATTATCTAAAACAACCATTAATTCAGCTGCGGAAAAATACATGTATGTGTGCATGTGTGTGTGTGCACACCCCCATATAGAAAACATTTTTAAACTGTTGAGTGATTAGGCTAACTATACAAAAAACTCCTGTTTAAAAGAACAAAATATATTCTTCCTCTTTAAAGCCACTGTAAGAGAAACCTGCCTGTGGCATTTGAGGCACAGCCCTCTGGCCCACAGGTGCTCGCCCCGATGACCTTGTGCCCAAGGAAAGGGCACTGGCTGGTAAGAGGCCATAGGTCCCAACAAAATCACATCGCACATGTATAAGGAGGACTGCAGGGAGCCAGGTATAATAGAACACACATTTAAAACCCAGCCTTAAAAACATGCGCAGCCTCTTACTTTGCAATCAGCCAGGGTCAAGCAGCCAGGCTCTCGGTCCGCAAACAGAACCTGGGAGAAGGGGTGGGCAAGGCTGGAAGGGGAGTCAGAAGTCAGAGCCCAACGGGCCTTTGGCTCTTGGCTCCTCAGCTTCCCAAGCAAGCCACTGCCGCCTCCCAAGACGGGGCTGTATACCAGGCCAGGGAAGCAGCCCCACACAGAGAGTCCCACACTTTATATCCTCCCAACTGGAAACAGGGAGGAATTATATATATTTTTTTCTTTCTGAGGCAGAATCTCACTCCGTCACCCAGGCTGGAGTGCAGTGGTATAATCTCAGCTCACTACGAACTCTACCTCTCAGGTTCAAGCGATTCTCCTGCCTCAGCCCCACAAGTAGCTGGGACTACAGGCATGCACCACCACACCCAGCTAGTTTTTGTATTTTTTGCAAAGACAGGGTTTCGCCATGTTGCCCAGGCTTGTCTTGAACTTCTGGGCTCAAGTAATCTACCTGCCCTGGCCTCCCAAAGTGTTGGGATTGCAGGCGTGAGCCACCGCACCTGGCCAGGAATAGCATTTAAACATGCAAACAGATATCACTAATAATGATAATTTTTGAAAGATGCTTCTAATTCTAAAAGTTTGTAAATGCATGAGACAGACTGCTAAAATGCCAGTGTTTACGGAAATCATTTCATTACCTTCTCCCCAGGTTTGAGTGACTGCTGCAATTTCTCATAATCTTTCTTAGTCTCCAAAATTTTTTTCACAAGTCCACCTGTTGAAAAATCAGTGATTTTATGTTAAAAGTTGATTCTAAATGGGTAGGATAATGGGAAAAACACTACGTTTTTATCCTATCTCTTTTTAAACAGTTCCAAATCATCTTTACTTGTCAAGGAGATAGTATACAAGAGTGATATGACAGCTGGTGGTAGAAATTATGAAATTTCAAAGTGTTTCAGGGAAATAAGCTCCTTGAAAAGTAAAAAGCTTTAGAAATAAAACAGATTTTCTCTTTTCAAAGATTAAAAAGGGATGTAGATTGACAGCAAAATATATTGCCATCTATTAAGAACAGAAATAAGAATTATGAATTGCTTCTAAGTACTAACACTTCTTTTATATTGGGGCAAGAATATTCCATCTCTTTCAGAATTTACCCATGGGATAAAAATCCTATGAAAACTGTTTTGAAGTGTTTCACCCAGGCATGCATCAGCCTGGGACTGATTGAATAAAAAAGGTGCGTGCCCTTGGTGGACGGACCGTGTGGCTATGAAAAGTAATGGGGGAGGTTTCTCTGTACTGCTGCATCTACTGCCAAGTTAAAAAGAAGAGCAAGATGGAAACAAGTGTAGGAATCAGTAAACACACGTGCACATGCATATGCACTTATTTATTTATTTTTCAAATGTAAGTATAAGCCCTATTTTTCACTGTTACCTCCAGGGAGAGGGAGAGTAGAGGGTGGAGGAGACAGGGGTCAAAGCCCCACATTTCTGATTATACCTGGTTTTGTACCTCTGACCTTAAAACCATGTGAGCTATCTTACATTAAAAAGGTAAACACTCGTGCCTAAAGATTGAATGCAAAATGAAATAAACTTAGTGATATCCAATTGGCAAGCATGAGCTACTAGAGAAAAAATTGTTTCATAACTTTAAAACAGAGGACTTAACTGTACATCCCTAATAGGATATAGCCAACAAAGAGTCATACACATCTACCAAAAAAAAAAAAAAAAAATCTATAGTTTCCAGCAATCCTGTTGTTGTTAAAAAACAGTGGTGGTGTTCTAAAACTGCTGTGTGAGCACATGAAGGATCGCAAAGCATGGGGATAGCTGCCGCTGCTGGAAGCCAAGCTTTTTGGCAAGACATGGAAGAGAGGCACATATAAAATCAAAGAACGCAGACAGAGCCCTGCACTCTTAAATCTGAATTGGAAATATCAGCACCAAGGCAGAATATACTTTCTTATTTTAAAAAACGATATTCCTGCTTTATGCAGTGAAAATGCCTGGAAACAAGAACCAACCCAGAGCAGTACACGGCCAGGTTCCTTGGAGAAATGAGGCAGTTATGGGGCAGAAACGCCTTGTCGTATGAGAAAACAAGGAAGCTACAAACTGTACTGGAATGTGTCTAAAGGTCCCCAGAAAATAGCTCCAAGAGGCTCCTCGAATCAAATACTGAGCAATCTAAACATTACTAAGAAACACTGAGAGGGGCTGAAATGAAACATGTCCCTGATGTTAAAAATCTGTGACTAGGCTAGGCACAGTGGCCCTCACCTGTATTCTCAGCATTTGGGAGGCCAAGGCAGGTTGATCACTTGAGGTTAGGAGTTTGAGACCACCCTGGCCAATGTGGCGAAACCCTGTCTCTACTAAAAATACAAAAATTGCCCAGGCATGGTGGCAGGCACCTGTAGTCCCAGCTACTTGTGAGGCTGAGGCACGAGAATCACTTGAACCTGGGAGGCAGAGATTGCAGTGAGCCAAGATCACATAATGGCACTCCAGCCTAGGCAAGAGTGAGACTTCGCCTCAAAAAAAAAAAGATTATATGAGATACCAAAAAAAAACCCAAACCAATAATCCCTCATTAGTCACCTGTGATGGGTGCCAGGAAACAAAGTCATATTGTGGGAAATAAAGGGAAAGCATTCAGCCTGCCTCTTCCACAGAAGCTGTGCTCCTGGATACTCAAACCCTGGTGCAGGGAGCAGGGCTTGCACTACTGAGTTGAGCAGCTAGTTGAGCAGCTAGAAAACAATAACATCCAGAACTCGACTTGGGAAGGGCCTCAGAGATCATCTACTCCCACAATCTAATCATACAGATGAGACAAGTCGTCATCTGCAGGACACTTCCCAGCGAGTTTGCAGCGTCCAGCAGTGCCCTCCTGCTCCTCTAAGGATAGGGAGCAGCAGCCATCGCCCTAGAGAATCCATGCCCACAGGGTCCTATGTACTGCCGGTGTGACCCCGCTGGTGTGACCCAGACCAGAACATGGCACACAACAGTCCCTTGCACTGGATCCTTTCCAAGCACACGTGGAGAAGGTGCGTGGGTGCGGACACGCGTGCACAGTTGGGCCAGGACTCACCATGCTTCTCCTCTTCTAGTTCCACTGCTGCTACCTGAGCAGAAAAGGAAGGGGAAAAAGAAGATTCAGGCTTGCTGAATTCTACAAATCACGCTGCTGTGGATCTCAAAAACGGAACAACAAAATTAACGAAAGTAGAAAACTAACTGAACAATTACAGGAAATTTTTGTCTACATAAATCTAAAAGCTACAGTATTAATCTCAATGTGGGCAAAAGATGATTATTAAAAAACTACCACATTTTGGTTAACTAACCATTTCAATTTCTGACATTTCAGAGAGCTGAGGGGCAGCTTCCACCACAAATTGATCATCCTCTTCATTGTCCGAGTTGTGTGACTCTATAATCACATTGGAGACGGTTTTACCACTCCCTGACCTAAATAAAAAGAAATTAAATTAGAAACGCTCTACCAGTCACACGTTTTCATCAATCCCAGGCATTTGAAACTGTCAGAGGTCAGCAGAGATGAAGCTAATCACCAACCATCTGAAGAACAGCATCTCAAGCGACCTGCTGAAGCTCAGATGGACTGTTTGCAAACAGTGTCCTCTCTAAGGCCTCCAGGCCTGAGTCCCTGTGAGCCTCACCCTCCACCCCAACCCAGCTCCCCTATGTCCCTGTGCTGCCCTGTGTGTGTGTGCCCCCTGGTACACCTGGCCTCCCGCCCCCAAAGCCTCATCATGCCCTCTACTGGATGAAGGCCCTCAGGGTCTCTACCTCTCCCCTGACCGTGCTCGCTTATTGCCCTGGGTCACAAACCTCAGGGTAGGCGCCACACTGGGGTCCCCATTGGCAGGGCTGCCCCGACACCTCTCTTCACACAGCCAGCTGGAGGCCCCTCGTTCAACTCCTAGTCAGGATGGCTGCCCTGTGTCCTGGCCAGCGCCTCTCCACCCAGGTCCCATCTTCTGGGCAAGTCAGCGTCCAACAGCCCGACCCTCCAGACCCGGACCTTGTCCTCCCTGGTGGTGACAGCCTTCACCCAAGGGCTCTCTCATGCTCTCCAGGGCCACCCACTAGAACTGCCCCACCTGCAGCTGCTCCACCCCTGCTCAGGCAGACCACTGTCAGCTCACTCTGCCCAATGTGAGCCCCAGACCCACTCACTCTACGGGCTTCCTGACGGCCCCTCCTGCCTTTGTTCCTTCCCTACGCACTCATGCTTGAACCAGTCCCCTAACTGCCCTGCCCGTTATCACACTGCTGCATGCATGCACACACATATGCACACGCACATGCACACATATGCGCACACATAGACACACACCCCAGACCCCTTCCTTGCTTCAGTGCCATGCACAAGGTCCAGAGGGAATCTAGACACTTGGGAACGAGCTCTTAAAATAAAACCCATTGCTGCAAACATCCTCAACTTCCTCAACAGGGTCCTTGAGACAAGAGGCTCATGGGAGGAGCAGCAGCTGCAGCTGAGGGCTGTGGGGAAGCCGTGTCCTGGAGAGCATGGTGAGACAGAGAGGGACTGCCAATCGGGACAGGCACGAGGGCGCAGGTGTTTGGGGGGTGGGATGTGGGCCACAGTGGGGACGCCAGCATGGCCCCTGCCCTGAGGTTTGTGACCCAGGGCAATAAGCACCACTGTGGTCCATTCAACAACCATCTGTGTGGCTCCTCCAGGACCAGTCTCACTTTGTACCTCGCTGCTCTTTCAGTACCAAAGGAAGCCCAAGCTCCCGTCTCCTCATCTCTCGCACTCGAGTGAAGGCAGCAGCGTGATAACGGGCAGGGCAGTTAGGGGACTGGTTCAAGCATGAGTGCGTAGGGAAGGAACAAAGGCAGGAGGGGCCGTCAGGAAGCCCGTAGAGTGAGTGGGTCTGGGGCTCACATTGGGCAGAGTGAGCTGACAGTGGTCTGCCTGAGCAGGAGTGGAGCAGCTGCAGGTGGGGCAGTTCTAGTGGGTGGCCCTGGAGAGCATGAGAGAGCCCTTGGGTGAAGGCTGCCACCACCAGGGAGGACAAGGTCCGGGTCTGGAGGGTCGGGCTGTTGGACGCTGACTTGCCCAGAAGATGGGACCTGGGTGGAGAGGAGTGTGTCCGTGGCGCTGGGCAGGACACAGGGCCCACATCCCACCCCTCCAACACCTGCACCTCCCGTGCCTGCCCTGATCGGCAGCTCTTCTCCTTCCCAACTGGCTCCAGGACGTGGCTTCCCCAAGGCCCCTCAGCTGCAGCTCCACTCCTCCCACAAGTCTTTTGTCACAGGCCCAGAGGCAAGGTCAGTAATTTCCTTATGCTTGCTGTGTCTTCCAGATCATTCTCACTAAAAACTGCCAACTTTAAATCTTGTCACTGTCGACCCCATCGTTGCTGCCATCAGCTGCCAACCCCTGGTCCCACCCGGTCCTCCTGGACCCGCCACTCTCACCAACACTGCTCCTGTCTTAACTTGTGATTTCAAGCATTGAGAAATGATCTTTCCCAAATCTGGCCTTGGGTCCCTGAACCCTCTTGGAATGATCCCACTTCCCGCACTCGACACCCATTCCCAGGCTGACCCCTGTCACTACCACTATCTCAAAGCCCCAATCTCAAATCCAAGAACCCCACTCCTGTACCACCACCACCCATCGTTCCAGCTCACGGCCCTAGGACCCGACTCCAACAGTCCTTCCACCCATCCAGCACCTTCAGTCTCTCAATCCTACCACCTCCTCCTGACCTTCCCCCACGAGGGCTCCTCCCCCACTCACTGGCATAAATCCCACATCAGTCATGACCGTGGCACTTCCACATACTCTGACTCCTTCCCTCCTCTCTCTGGTGCACTTGCTTGGCACAGCCGAGCACTGTGATAATGGGGCAGCCTGTTTAATCTAGCCTTTGCCCCATGCCTGCACCGTGCAACTGACCTCAGCTGCACAACAGGCCCCGCCACACCAACTCCCATCTCTTTACACCCAAGTGCAGCAGATGCACGGAAGTCAGCTCTCAGTCACAGCCTCCACCCAGGACCCGTCCTCCTTTGTGGTGGGGGCCATCCTGTGCACTGCAGGGGGTTCAGCAACAGCCCTGCCCTAACTCCCTGCCTCATCAGAACACTAGAAATGTCTCCAGACCAAGGCCCAGTGTCCTCAGAGGGGGGTCACCGTGGAGGAAAACCTCTGCTCCAGTCTCTTCACTAGCCAACTCTTGTGCCAGGTACTTCACCCAGCTCCTCTCTCCTCTGACACTCCTCTTCCCCCAGACTCTCTTACAGCTCATGAGAAAAATACGTGGCAGAGAGTCACCTTAAGAATCTGCACCACACCATGTGCCAGCTCCACCTCTGCGCCCGTTCCCACACCCATGCCGGGACTCTGCTCCACCAGACCCCTGCCCTGCCCCACGTCCCCTACATCATCAATGTCCCCTCTCCACTGGATCGTTCCCATCATCAGAAAAATAATAACTCCCCTTGACACTGCCTTTCCCTCTTTCTAGTCTTATTCCTTCACTTCTCTTTGTAACAAAAGACTCCTGGAAAACCACATCTACTCCTGCTGCCTCCAATTCCTGCCTCTTATTTTATCTGAAACCCACTCTGATCCATCCTGTCTTGTTTATCTTTATATTGCTTATGACATTTTTTTTTTTTGAGACAGTCTCACTCTGTCACCCAGGCTGGAGTACAGCCACGCAATCTCAGCTCATTACATCCTCCACCTCCTGGGTTCAAGTGATTCTCCTGTCTCAGCCTCTTGAGTAGCTGGGCCTACAAGCACAGGCCACCAGGCCCAGCTAATTTTTGTATTGTTATTAGAGATGGGAGTTTCACCACGTTGACCAGGCTGGTCTCAAACTCCCTGACCTCAAGCGATCTGCCTGCCTCGGCCTCCCAAAATGCTGAAATTGCAGGTGTGAGCCACCACACCCAGCCTGCCTATAACATTTTGACCATCTTCTATTTTTCATTTTTTGCAATTAAGCCCCTAAATTTTCCCCTACTTTTTCCTCAGCATTGTTTTCATGCTTAGAAAGTCTTCAGTCTAGAGTCCAGGCACGGTGGCTCATGCCTGTAATCCCAGCACTTTGGGAGGTTGAGGCAGGCGGATCACGAGGTTAAGAAATTGAGACCATCCTGGCCAACATCGTGAAACCTCGTCTCTAATAAAAATACAAAAATTAGCTGGGCATGGTGGGGCATGCCTGTAGTCCCAGCTACTCAGGAGGCTGAGACAGGAGAATCGCCTGAACCCAGGAGGCAGAGGCTGCAGTGATCTAAAATTGCACCACTGTACTTCAGCTTGGCATCAGAGTAAAACTCCGTCTCAGGAAAAAAAAGAAAAGAAGCAAGTCTTCAACCCAGAGATCAGAGAAATGCAGTCCAACACTTTCCCATGGATGTTAAGATTTAATTTTACATGGATGCGGGGCTTTCCTCTTTCATCCATCTGCTAGGTCTGTTGGCCTATGGTGTGAGGCAAGGGCCTACCTCATTTTTCATTCCTCGACACCAAGTTTCCAGCACCATCTGCGGCCTCCCTCTCCCACCCCTCAGTGGAGGCACTGTGCCCATGGAGAACACACTATGTGACCGGAACTGCCCTGCTGAGCCAGCCTTACCTCTCCAGCGGTAACGCTTCCGCGCTGTCTTGCCGTTTGACCCGAGGAGGTGCTGGTCTTGCACTCCCAGGCCGAGGAATTTTTCTAAACCCAAATATCAGAAAACCAAAAAAGGAGTATGAAAGGCTTATACATTTCAAAGCGGAAAATCATCTCCAGGCCATAATCAAGTGCTAGTTAGGACACACTACTCTGCAGAAGAGGAAGAATGTCCCGTTAACCCAACCAACCAGAAAGTGTCCATCTTTTAAACTATATTTTCAGTCATTTCAAAATACCAAGGAAATTGCACAACTATCATTAATCAAAACATGACATAATTCAGACATAATTTTGAATTCCCCTAAATCTCCAAAATATTCTGCATATGCTTATATCACTGAGGTACAGAAGAATGATCTACTTTTTCTATTCTCTACAAGTAACTCCTCGTAAGTTAGCTCAAGTGCTAAATAAACAGCAACAAGCAGGAAGAGAAGCAGGGCAGCGTCCCAGGTATGGTATGGTCGCTGCTGAGGGAAAAGGATTAAAAGCACACAGACCTGAGGCTGGATGAAAGCTCATTAGGAATTTCTGGAATCTCTGACACCTCAGTCTTATCTTGGCCAGCAGGTCCAGCGTCTCCTTCTAAACAAATGACAATCAATTAGCAATTCACAAAGGAAAAAACACACCGACAACTATTTGAAAATTCTTTTTGTGTTTGTATTTGCAGTTATTTGCAATCAAATATATTTGTAATTGCAAATACAAATGAGCAATTTTTCCATCAATCATGTTGTTGAAGATAAAACCTATGTCTGATATCTAAGCTTGGTGAAGATTTGGGAAAATGGGCACACTCAAACCCAGGAAATACAAATGGGTTCAACTACTTCAGAATTAAAATTCGAAAGGCAGGCTGATCAACTCCGCACTTAAAGGAAATACAACCCAAGAGGAGAAATGGACACATGTCAAGATATTCACCCATCATCATTGATAGTATTGACAATTAACCGGTGACTAAGTAAATTAAGGTACAGTCACATGCTAGTCCCTTTTGTGTAAAACAATCTAGTACAGTAATATATCTAACAATTATATATGTAGGCATATATATGCAGAGAGAGCGGGTTCTAGAAGAATATTCATTTAAGTTATAAGCAGTGGGATTACCAGCGCTGTTAAGTTTTGTTCTTTATGATCTTCTGCATTTTTAATTTTTCTACATTGGTATGTACCATATTATGTTTCTAATCTGAACAAAGTTCTCTTCATTTCGATAAAAAGAATTAAGCAGTAAATAATAAGGCCCAAACTATTAAGACAATTAAGTTTCTCCACTACTTAAAGTAAAAGAAATTAATAATTCAGAAAATAGTCAGAATTTGAATATTAGAACTATACTTTATATTCTGGAAAAAATCCTGAAATGTATTCTTTGCAAACTTAAAACATACAAATTAAATTAGGGTCGTTAACATCTGTTTCCATAAACTAAGTTACTTTCACTAATGCACTTTATAAAACACAGATCTTCGAGCCCATGTTTACATTCACAACTTGCATCCTGATGTGACGCACAGGTGCCTACGGCCATTCCTCACCTGCATCACTGGCGGAGTCGCCTGGGAAAAAAAAGCACAGCAGAAAATTCACTTTTGTCTAAGTAAACCTCAAGACAGTAAAAGATGAGAGCAGAGAACAAGCACATTGCACACAATTGTGGATGTCTGTTAGAAAAAAGGATCATTTCCTCATAGCCGCTTTTCTGATGTCCCTATTGCCATTTTATTTTATTTTCAAAGATAGAAAAACAAAGCACAAGCACACCATGCATCATAAAATGGTATTACACAAAAACAGGACACAGGGGTGTGGAGAGAGCACATCGGAGAGAGGAAGTTAACAAGCTCATGAGACAAAAATTGACAAAGCCAGAGCCACAGAAAAGCATCTAAATGCGAGGCAATGACGCGACAGTCTGAACCCGGCCAGCTAAATCCCAGCCGTTCCTAAGCCTGGGAGATAGGCAGCAACGGCCCATCTTATAGACATAATCGGTACTTTTCCATCAGCTCCTGAAGCAGAAGAAAATCTCCCAGCTTAACACAGGCCCACCTCTGCACCTTCACCCATGATCCTTTTCCTTCAAGTGCTGTGTCTTGGGGACAAATGTGACCTAAACGGTCAAAGTAAATCAGCAGTGGCACCACAGGGATGGGGTGGATTCCAAACCATAGGTGGAAAATCTCTGTTTCACACTCTCAAGATGCACTGAATGCACTTGCAGAAGAGCAGAAAGCACATGGATTCCCAAGACAGCCCAGAACACCACGTCGGGCAGACACAACCCCTCGTTTAACACGGCTCCGCCCCAGACAGGGACAGTTCACGCAGCCTCGAGAAAGCAGCCTGGGTTATTCTGAGGGTCCACACCCAAGAGAGTGAGGAGCACTCCACAGACACCTCTAGCTCGTTTATTCACAGGAGGCCTTTTCGTGAACATAACAGTCACGAAGCTCATTAACGCTGCCCTAAAGAGGGTGGCTCTGGCAGGGAGAGCGCAGCCAAGCTTGTGGATCAAGGGGAACCGGGAGGCTCTAGAGCACCCTATCAGTGTGGGCCTAGGAGCCTCCAGAGGTCACGCCCCACAAAGTGCCACAACACAGCGGGCAGCCTGGCACCCGCCAGGGCCTAGGGGGCTGGAGGGCACAGTGGTTAGGAGAGGCCTAGAGAATGTGGTCCCAGATAGTGCCACTAGAAGGGCAGTTTCAGAGACCCCAGCACTCTGGGGCAACGGGATTGGAGGACTTAGCTCAACCCTGGGACGGGACTGCTCGGGAACAAGAGCAAATCTTCCCATGGCTGTGCAGCCTGGAGCATGTGCTTTGCAGAGACCAGCGACCTGGGGGTGGGCAGCAGACCCAGCTGCAAACCCCCAGCTCTTTCTTTAAAACACCAGGGTGTTGGGGACAGACTCTGGGTCACAGAGCTCATAGAAAGGTTCCTGAGAGGCGCAGTTATTCAACCACGAGGTCGATATCAACAAGGAAAGCAAGCACAGTAAACTCTCTACATTTCCATGGAGACTTCTAGTCCCTGTCACCCAGAACCCAAGTCACCTGCCACACAGCACACACCTTCCTCCCTGAAGCCTGTGCTTCCATGGCACCAGTGCTCTCTGCCAGCTCCTGCGCTCATGATCTTGCCCCAGGTGACCTCGTCCCCACCCAGGCTCCCGCCATCACCGGCGCCAGCAACTCTCACAGCTCCTCTCTAGCCTGTGCTCTCCCTCCACGTTCCAGGCCAGTCCTCCAACACGTGCCAGCAGCCCTGGAATCCCTTCTCCCTTCCTGGAGCTCCTCCATAGTCCAGGCCTCTCTCTCTCTCTCTCTCTTCTCTGGACACTCTTTAATCCTCCCTAATTAACATGGCCGCTAGTTAAAATCTAAATATCATTATACTGCTCCTCCTAAAGATATGATTAGCCTCCTGCTGCTCTTCCAATAATGGCTTAACTCCATAAGGTGGCACAGTGACCTGGCTCTGCGCTTCCTCTGGGCTGAGCCAGCCCTGCTGCAGCTGCGTCCCAGCTAGGACCATGGGCCACCCTCCCACCCAAGGCCCCTCCTGCCCCAGACTGCCACTTCATCAAATGGTTTCGGTGAATCTTCAAGCCTCATCTGCACCAGGAAGGCAGAGGGCCAGTCTGACTTCACTGGCTAATGGACGCCCGGCCTCAGGACTGACATGTCGTAGGCCTTGGACAGGTATTTTCTGTTTGAAGGAATCAAGAAACGTCAGCCACACCCCAGCCTGCCGCTGCTGCCTGCACAAGCCTTGGTTCCCTGGGCACCGGCACCCTGCAGGCCTGTTAGGAGCTCCAAGGCCTTAAAACACAAACACCGAATGGCTGTTTTACCAAAGTGTTTTTTAGGGCTGAGAAAATTGATGATGAAAGTAAAATCTCACTGAGGTATAATTCAACATTCAAAAAAAATGACAGAAAAATCATGGTGGCCACAGCACCGTGACCATGAAGTGTGGGTGGCACACTGCTGGGCCCATGGGGCTCTCCAAGCAGTGACCCTGAATCTTCAGGGATCACTCATGACACCTCCTGAGTGACGAACCATGCCACCTCCTCTCACTCACAAAGCACAGGGGAGCACATGAGTAGGTCTCATGTTATCAAGAAACCACTGTGTTAGATTCCAGTTTATGCAAAAAGCCAGAAGTGAATCACTCGCCGTGTTCAGACCCCAGGGAAAGCCTTGAGCTCTGGGCTGTGGCCCTTTGGGAAGAAGGCCCTGAAAGACTGACTGCTTTCACCAGAAAAGGGCAAAACAGGACCATTCTTACCTTTCTGCTTCACTGCAGGGTCGGGCTCAATATTCTCATGCCGCAGACTAGCTGAGTTATCATCTGAAATACTAGTTGAGTTAATATTAGCTTCTTTTGTTCCTGACATAAAACAGTTTGAAATTAGTCACTAAGACTGTACACCAAAGGGCCGGGGATCAGCGGCTTCGTTAACACAGAGCATGCTCACTTATCTACGTCTTCCCACACCGCAAGTTTACAAAGGATAGACCAAAGGCAGTTTTTAGAAAACATGCATCTAGAATGTTCCTTCCCCATGGGTGGCTCTGCAATTAGGTGAAACGGAAAGAAAACCCCAGACTGTGAGCGTGTCCTGGGTCTACTTGGGCCAGGAGGAGCAGGCCGTCCCTGCCCCCATTTCTGGAGCTACCTGACACCACCAGTCTCTGCTCGCCTCCCCACTAGAGCCAGATCCAGCAGCTGAGAGGCTGCGAGTAGGTGGCTGTTTCAGGAACGCAGGAAGAAAAGAAAAATATTCTGGACACAGTGCACAGTCCTGGCCATATTGAAAACTTCCACATACCTGCCTACTAATTACTCACTGATGTTCCGAAGTTTATGAAGACAGAAAAAGCACCAAATACCTGAGAAAATATTTTTGCTATGAAAACGAACACAGGCTGGGCGCAGTGGCTCACACCTATAATCCCAGCAATTTGGGAGGCTTCGGTGGGAGGATCACTTGAGCCCAGGAGTATAAGACAACCTAGGCAACATAGGGATAGGGAGACCTTGTCTCCACACAAAATATAAAACTTCAAAAACTAGCCAGGCATGGGTACACACACCTGTAGTCCCAGCTATTCAGGAGGCCAAGGTGGGAGGGATCACTTGAGTCCAGGAGTTGGGAGATGCAGTGAGCTATGATCACGCCACTGTCCTCCAGGCCAGGGAACAAAGTAAAACCCTACCTAGGAGACAAAAAAAAAAAAAAAAAATGCCAAGTGCAGTGGCTCATCCCTGTAGTCCCAACACTTTGGGAGGCCAAGGAAGGCACCAGCCTGGGCAGCCTGGCAAAACCTCATATGTACAAAAATTAGCTAGGAGTGGTGGCAGGTGCCTGTAGTCCCAGCTACCCAGGAGGCTGAGGCAGGAGAATCACGTGATCCCAGGAGGTTGAGGCTGCAGTGAGCCATGATTGTGCCACCGCACTCCAGCCTGGGTGTAACAGTGAGATCCTGTCTGGAAAAACAGGGGACATAGGGGCCGGGGGAGGGGCTAGAGGAATAGGTTCTGAATTACGACAGGACCCAGAGCTAGAAAACTAGCCCATAGTCAAGGACCTGCCACTCTAAAAAGAAACTAAGAGACAAAAATAAAACTGGAAAAATGTTCCCTTTTCTGAAACATAATCTTATAATTTCTTCAAACTATTCAAAACAGCTTACATCAGAATCAACCTGACATTAACTACCAACTGTCTTATTTATAATGTAATAGAACTACATAAAATAGATGAAATATAATTTTATAAAGATATTTTTATCAATCTATGAAAATGCTTGCTGACTTAAATAGTCTGATTCAAATACAGAGCAACCAGAGAATAAACATGAAATATTAAGTTCTTACCAACATAAAAATAAAAATCAACATAAGCTTGGCAATTCTAGTTCAAGAAAACACTCTAATCATTTTAAGTTGTATACTTGATTTCTAAGTGTCAAATATTTTCCATACTCTACCATACCCACCGCCATCACAATAAGTAAATTATAAATGCATTATCTTCATTCTGTAATTCAGAGACCAATGACACTTTGCACAATTTTACCTTTCCAAAGTTCCAGTGGCATTCTTATGTAAGTTTTACTAAACCCCAGGTTCATACCAAGAGAAAGAACATGAAAACAGACTATACACTCACTAATGATACCACACTGTAGAATCAGCTTTTAATCACAGAGAAGGGATTAACCAATCTGTCAAATAATAGCTTTAAAAAAATAAATAATGCACTTATAAAGTGAAAATGATGGCCAGGCTTGGTGGCTCATGCCTGTAATCCCAGCACTTTGGGAGGCCAAGGCAGGCTGATTACCTGAGGTCAGGAATTCAAGACCAGCCTGGCCCACATGGCGAAACCTCATCTCTTCTGAAAATACAAAAATTAGCTGGGCCTGGTGGCAGGCTCCTGTAATCCCAGCTCCTCGGGAGGCTGAGGCAGGAAAATCACTTGAACCTGGAAGACAGAGGTTGCAGTGAGCCAAGATTGTGCCATTGCACTCCAACCTGGCAAGAAAGCGAGACTCCATCTCAAAAATAAAATAAAATAAAATAAAAATGGCTATAAATTGAAAAAAAAGAAAAGAAAGAAACAGGAAAAAAAAAAAAAAAGAATCACAGCATAAGCACAATCTGTTGTCTGGAACTACCTGGTAATCAACGAACCTTGCAGGTAAGAATGTGAGCCCTAAGACTCCCTAGGGTGGAACACTGGTGCTCCCTCTCTCCACGGGCTACACTTTGGTCAGACCCCTCAGCCTTCCTGAGCCAAAGTCTGGTCTGCCCACCTCATGGAGCCAGCCTGAGTCAAATGAGATCTTGTGCATAAAGCAAGGAGCCCTGTGTGCCGGCTGGGAGGGGCCAGTCCCTATCAGTCACTGTTATTGAAACTAATCAGACTTAGGCCCACAATACAACTGCAAGAGACCCGTCATTCTGCCAGTGTTCTCCGCAAATTTTAGCTATACTGAGTTAAATGTGATCAAATAGCCAGTGTTTAAAAAAAAAAAAAACACATTTCTGGGACAAAAAGAATATAGCTTGGGATTCAGATGCTCTCAGGAAGTAACAACTGAGTTGAGTCAGGCAATACTTTTGTGTCTATGTAGGAGAATGTACTTTTTTTTTAAGCTGCATGTTGAAGTATTTACAGACAAAGTGTTAGGATTTTTTTTTTTAAAGATAGGGTTTCACCATATTGATCAGGCTGGTCTCGAACTCCTGACCTCCGGTGATCCACCCACTTCAGCCTCCCAAAGTGTTGGGATTACAGGCATGAGCCACCATGCCCAGCAAGATGTTTTTAACATATTTTGAAACAGGTCATTAAAATATGTAACTATATACTGGGTATGGTGACTCATTCCTGTAATCCCAGCACTTTGGGAGTTTGAGGTGAAAGGATCACTTGAGCCCAGGAGTTCAAGACCAGCCCAGGCAACAAAGTGAGATGCCCTCTCTACAAAAAAAAAAAAAAAAAAAAAAAAAAAAAAAATTAGCTAGGCATGGTGACACATGCCTGTAGTCCTAGCTAGTCGAGAGGCTGAGGCAGGAGGATCACTTGAGCCAAGGAGTTCAAGACTGCAATGAGTTATGATCATACTGCTGCACTCCAGGCTGAGTGACAGAGCAAAGTCCTGTCTCAAAAATATACATAAGTAGCTGGGCGTGGTGGCAAGTGCCTGTAGTCCCAGCTACTCAGGAGGCTAAGGCAAAAGAATCACTTGAACCCAGGAGGCGGAGGTTGCAGTGAGCTCAGATTGTGCCACTGTACCCCAGCCTGGGTGACAGAGTGAGACCTCATCTCAAGAAATACATATATACACACACACACGTTAACTGTACATTTAGCAAAATGGCAAAAATGCTAGAACTAGTGAATCTAGGTGAGAGGTATATGGGCATTAGTTGTACTCTTCTTTCTACTTTTCTGTATTTTTCACAATAAAAACATGTAAACAATTAAGCAAACATGAAATGAGGAAGACTAAGCAAAATAAAGACCTGGCTTAATGCTCCAGAAAAACTTGGAAGTGTCACACAATTGTAAAGAGAAAAAAGCACAGCTTACAGCTTGCATAACAACTGAAGTACAGGAAGAAATTGTTCATATTTTGAAAAAGAAATGCATAAAATTCCTCGTTGAACTCTTTGAGACAGAGTCTTGCTCTGTCGCCCAGGCTGGAGTGCAACGGCACGATCTCAGGTCACTACAACCTCCACCTCCCAGGTTCAAGTAATTCTCTCCCTCAGCCTCCCAAATAGCTGGGACCACAGGCGCCTGCCACCATGCCTGGCTAATTCTTTATATTTTTAGTAGAGACAGGGTTTCACCATGTTGGCCAGGCTGGTCTTGAACTCCTGACCTTATGATCCACTCGCCTTGGCCTCCCAAAGTGCTGGTATTACAGGCATGAGCCACCAGCGCCCAGCCAAACTCTTTAATCCACCCAAAAAACCAAAATGATACCCCACAAATTCTCTAATGACGACCCAGACTATGGGCACAGGGCTCGCTAGGGCTGGGTCAGTCATTGCAACACAGGCCAGCTTTCTTTGACAACGTGGACTTTTCTTTGAAGCACGAAGAAGGAAAGGTACTGTGAGGACCGGCTTGCTAACCAGACCCAATGGCAGTTCACCTGGGGTTCACCCTCAGTGAAGAAATCAAGGAACTGTAACAACTGCCGGCAAACTCTGAATTCCAAATGTTAACCATGGCCAGTGCAAGGTAACACCTGCAACTGCAAGGACAGGGCCCCAGGGGAGCAGGGCCAGGGTAAGGGGAGGAGAGAGAGGAGGGACCAGGAGTCTCTCCAGAGCCCAGGCTCTGCTCCTGGTCACCCACTCCTACACCACCACCCAAGGAGAGACTCTGCTCCCCAGCAGGTGGCATCAGGCTCCATCCCTCTCTCTGCAAAAAGCTGAACCCAGAACCCAGGGTTAGAGTCTCTGCTTCTCACCGCCTGGGCTTGTGCTATCTCACACTTGTGGATATTACCTATACAGTGCTCACTACCTGTCTGGAGAATGCTTTCAATTTGTTCTAAATCCACTGCCCATCTCAGGATGAGCACTGTCTCACCCTGATCCAGGGCTGGCAGTTCAGCTGAGGTGATCTGTGATAAAGCGGGTTAGACCGCAGCGTGCCTGGGACAAGCCACCACCTTATGGACATCACCTCCTTCACCCTCAGGCAGGTCTCTTTACACCCATTCATGATGAGGAAACTGTGGCTCAGAGAACCCACTCACATGGCTGACTAAGGTCATGAGACAGGTAAGCAGAGGGTGGGGAGTTGTCCCAGCGGTCTCAGAGATGGGGTCCCAGCTACCCAGATGGGGGCTACCAGGAGGCTACCCCTCAGGCTTTTGCCGCTGCCTGCTGCCCTCTCCTGCGTACAGGACTGCAGAGCGCCTGGGTGTTTCCCCACAGGCGCCTGGGGATGAGGAAAGCTCCCACAAAAAGAAAACATACATCACAAGATGCGGCTGAGCTGTAACATGCATTCCCACGTGGCAAGGGCTCTCTTCAGTGGAAAACCCTGCTCCAACTCAGTCACCTTTTACTGCACCATCCCATGCTATCGAAGACCCAGATAATTCCCAAAAAGTCGTGCTACTTGGAATAAAATAACCACAGATCACCTTTCACACTGCAGCTGCTGTACCAATCACACCCAATCCTGGAAGTGCCAGCTCTGAGGGGGACGCATGCAGAGAAAAAAAGGTGTACCCGTCGGCATTCCAGCTGCACTTCAGAATTCGTCAAAGCCAGACAGATACAAGGCAAGTTGGGCCCAGCAAAAATCTTATCTTACCCTAAAGTCTAATTTTACACTATTTTTTCCTTAAATGCAACTGAAGAATTCAAATATTTCTGAAGAATTCCATCCGTAGTCCCAGATGACCGCAGTTACTGATACTGAACCAAGGCCCATCCCCTCTGAGCCAGCAGGATAAGGATTGAAATGTGATTGGCTATGACAGGCCAGCTTCCCCAGTGCCTAAGAAGCACCTTAAACGAGATCTCTACTTCTGGCATTTTCTGAGTAGAATACAACAGGGCAGGATGAAGACAGAAAAATCGTTTCTCTATGTCATCACCCATACCACTGTGAAATCCCAGCAGCAAAATTAAGAAACCATTTTGACTGAAATGTAAACATAAGCTATGTACAAAAAGGCATATAATTAACTTAAAGCTGAGTTAATAAAGTTATGTAACAGCACATTAAAGCAAGTAAAACCTCAAGTCATTTCCAATCTTCGGTACATCATGAAAAAGTCTGATGAACATAAAAGTGTTTAGAATAATTTTTTTTTAATGTATAACTACACTGAGATATAGCCATTCACATTAAAGGGGTAAGGAACTGAAACTAAAGAATCTATTTTTCTTACCGATTTCTGAAGTTGTTGTTTCCTGATTTGGCTCATTATTTATTCCAGACACTATGGAGTCTAAAATTTTAGCTGAAATATTATCCTCCTTCCTTCCTGACATAAAATAGTTAACAACAGATTAAAATACTGTAAAAGATTTTGTGTTTGGTTTAGTTGGGATTTATAGGGGATATACGAAGGTCACCAGCAAACTGTCTTGTCAACTAAATGCTCAATTCTGAGCCTCCACATGACTCCCTCACATTAGAGCTTGACAAAAAGCCCCTCTCTCCTTCCCTAACACTTTCTTCCTCTCCAAGTTTTCCTCCAACTTGTTGGCCTTCTGTTTACTTAGGTGAGGACGATCCTCCATCTTTCCTCCTCCTCCTCCATCTTTTTTCTCCTCCTCCTCCTCCCCCTCCCCTTCCCCCTCCTCCCCTTCCCCTCCCCCTCCTCTCCCTCTCTCTCCCTTCCCTTCCTCCTCTCTCCCGTCCTTCTCCTCCTCCTCCTCTCCCTCCCCTTCCCCATCCCCCCTTCCCCTCCCCCTCCTCCCCGCCCCCTCCTCTCCCTCTTTCTCCCTCCCCTTCCTCCTCTCTCCCCGTCCTTTTCCTCCTCCTCTCTCCCCCTCCCCCTCCTCTTCTGACCTGGGAGCCCACAGCAGGCCCCAGAGCTCACCACCCCCTTTCCTACCTACACATGCCCCTGGACTACTTCCTGCACAAAGGCCCATGGCTGTAAACATCACTCGTATGCTAGAACTCTCCATTTTTGGTTTTTACCTTCAGTTTCTCCAGCTCTCTCCTATCTCCGAGTCTATACACCCAGCTGTCTTCTACTTGGTTGGTCCATAGCCATCTCAAATTTGTTGTCAACACAGAATTCCTAACAGTGTCACCCATTCCACCAACCAGCATCTCCTAGAACCTTCCACATCAATAAAGGCCACCCCCAGGAACCTAGACCCCTCCCAGAATGAATCGCATCTTTGATTTCCTTCCATCTGAACAAGTGGCATCCAACCCATCAGCACAGTAAACCCAAGCTGCTCTCACACCACTGGTCTGAACTATCACCTCCTCTCATCTGGATGCCACAGCCCCTTCCTTACTTCTCTGTGGCCTTTATTCCTGCCACTCCACAGTTTTAAGGAAGCCTTCTAAAACCTAAGCCAAATCTTGCCTCTGTCCTGCTTAAAACCCTCCAAGGACTTCTGTATGCACTCACTGTAAACCACAAAGCTGCTATGGACCAGGACCAGCAGCTCTGGGCCCTGCCAGTCCCTCCCCTATCACTGTTCCTCTCCACCTGGCCTCACCATTCACACAGGAAAGCCTGCCCCAACTCAGAGACTCTGCTCAGAGGCTATGCACACCTGTGTCCTCCTTTGCCCAAGTCAGCTCTCTGTCTAGATGTCCTCCCTCAGAGATGTCCTCCCTCAGAGACGTCCTCCCTGCTCAGCCCCTCATCCCTGCTCCTCTTGGCTTCATTTTCCTTGAAGATTCATCACAAACTAATATGCAAATATGCATCCTGAGTCATAAATGTCTACAGAATCAATGAAGGCTCAAATGGACAATTTCAGCCTGTGATTGACTCAGAATAAGAAATTCTCACATGGTCAGGGGCAGCCCTGCAGGGGGCCAACAGGTCCCTCTGCCCCTCTCCATTCTGGCCCTGAAGGCAGTGTTCTAGAGCTCAGGCCCCAGGGCAAGCAAGGCCACACCCATCCAACCACCCCGTAGACTTCCACATGTTCAATGACCAAGCAGAAGCAAAGGACCACGTGGCAAAGGTTTCAACTCTCAACACTCACTCACAGCCTCCACTATGGCTCACTCAGCTTACCGAGCTGTTTCAGGGTATGCTCCTTCTTAGCTTTATAGTGGGAAGAGTTACGTTCTTTCTCAGGGGAAAGACTATTTTCACTGGCTTTAGGGTCCCTTCTTCCTGACACAAAATTGCACAATGAAAATACATATTAAACTTCATTTGTAATGTAAAGCAGTTAACAAACAAATGAAATTAAAATATACTCATTAACTCAAAATGATCAGCTCTATATGCACTACTTAGGAATAAGCAAAAATTGTCATAATCTTATGCAGAATGCCTTCTGGATTCTTCGGGATTCCAAAATGACTTTAAGAGTCTAAGTGTGTTTAACAAATGTGCTCCCCTCACATCCCATAGTAAAGGCTCATTCATCCCCTCGAGCAGAACACAGAGGTCCAGTGTCTCACACACCTCTGGAAACTGGGCATTTACCCAAATGCAAACCTTATACTTAAGTGAGGCAGAATGTTCGGGAAGAGTGCCAGCTGTGCTGGGAGACCTACAGTGAGGTCAGCGCCTGGCTAGCAAGAGGGGAAGACAAGAGTTCACTGGGCTGTTGGTAACTCAGGAAAACTCAGTGTCAAAAAAACCAAAAATGTCTGGTAATAAAATCTCTTAAGATCATACAAAGAACCCAGAGCACAAGCTTGCCAGTAAACACAGCTGCAAATATCCCAAGTGATTAGAAAAGGGCAGATGATACAACTGTCTGCTTAGGAAACCAGAAAGAACCAACAGAAGACCTACTGGATTAAGATGCAACAACAGGCCAGGCACGGTGGCTCACATCTGTAATCCCAGCACTTTGGGAGGCTGAGGCAGGTGGATCACTTAAGGCAAGGAGTTCGAAACTAGCCTGGCCAACATGGTGAAACTTCGCCTCTACTAGAAATACAAAAAATTAGTTGGGCATGGTGGTATGCACCTGTAATCCCAGCTACCTGGGAGGCTGAGGCAGGAAAATCGCTTGAACCTGGGAGGCAGAAGTTGCAGTGAGCTGAGATCACACCACTGCACCCCAGCCTGGGCAACAGAGCGAAACTCCATCACAAAAAAAAAAAAAAAATGAAGCCACAACATACCAACAACAATCATTTTTAAAATGAGAGAAAATACCATTTCCAAGAAAAAATTAAAAATAAAACAAACCAGCGAGCAACCACTGTGACTAACAGACAGCCAGGCACATGCACACGTGTTCTCGAAAGAGGGGGGACGCCTTCCCAAAACTGAAGTTCGAGGTGTCTAATCTTCCTAACCTAATGAAGAGCATATCTTTAACACAAGTCCAATTACATTCTAAGACATTACTTTGTTTATTTTGCAGGAGTGAAATTCTTTGAGTTGTGAAGTGCTTTTAAAATTCATCTGGAAGAATAAGCAAATAAGATGGCTTAAAACTTTCCTGAAAAGAACAATGATAGGAAACTGATAGTAAAAATAAAACAGTGGAAGTAAAAACCACCACACACAAAAAAGCCTGTAACACAGACTACAAAAGGCATCACAGAGCAGGAAAGAAGTGTTCAATTAATTAGTAACTGATCCTGGAACCCCTGATGAATTATTCTGACAAAACAGATTCAGAGCCTCACCTTATACCATGAATTAAAGAGATAAAATATTAAATGAAAAAATGAATGATAAAACACAAATCTTCATCTCTCAAATCTCTGGACAGATTACCAAAAGAAAGATTAGAGACCTCAAGTACCTAACAATTTAACACTCAGGCAAATCAGAAACCAAACCAAATATAATTAGCAGAAACAAACTGGAAAAAAAATAAGAAACAGTTATGCAAATATCAGCATCTGCCCTTAACATGCAGTGCACGTGTGCAAATTAGTAAGAACACAGACTCCAGCAGCAAGAACCCAGGCCAACGAAATTTTGGACAGCAGATCAGACAAGCCCAGAATACTCTACATACAACGAAAAGTACTATTTCACTAGCAATTAACTTTTTGTTTTTCATCCACCAAAATCAGCATGCCTTTAAAACACTGGAGAAGGTGTGGGGTGAAGGGCTGTGAAAGGCGCGCAGAAGCCACAATGCCACGCCCTTTATGCCAACCACTGAGCTTCTGGAAACCTACCCCAGAGTGGTCAACCAAAAGAGAGCAAAGCCTTCTGGCACAAAGCTGGTCATGAGCACACTACTGATTCTTATGCAAGAGTGGAACCCGCCACGTAAGCTACCCCACAGAGGCAGGCTGAGAAAGCCTCCTTTCCATACGAGAAATTCCCACTGCTACGTCTTGCCATCCTTCTTTAACCTACACAATTCAGGAAAAGGATGACTTTCTGGAAACTAGTACTGCTCATTCAAAATCACATCATACTTCAATAGAAAATAAGCCTCCAACACCGTGGCCTCCAACAGGGCTTCCCTGCATGTGCCTGGCACTCTTGTGTTAGGCAGGATGATGAGGTACTACCCTTGAGCGAACCACAGGCCAGGCCTGTGGGCTCCCAGCTTGTAGCATGACTTCAATCATCATTTCTGTGGTTTTTGAATACATAAACATTATCCACCTATGTGCTCTATGTACAACCTGTGTAAGGATTAAATGTAGTCCTGCCAACTGCAAAGGACAGAACCACTGAAATGAAGATGGCTGGTAAGTATTTCCAGAAAATGAAAATTTGATCATGACTTTTAGATTTCAACACAGATCTCCAGCAAAGAGGGCTACTCTGCCCTGATGCCATCAGCTCACACACTTGAACACACATGCAGGCATGTGCAATGGCCACAAATCTGCATTATTTCCACACGCCGTTCATGCCCAGACACAGCAAGTCTGTTTTCCAGCCACAGGAGTTCTTTCCTACTAGATGGTGAGATTAAGGCAATATAAAACTAACATCCATATTTTCAGCTACATATATAAGTTTTGCAGTACCTTCCACTGAATTTTTGGATCGCCGCTTTGATGTTTTTGTTGTCAATGACTTGGATGTTCTAGTGGAAATCTCAGTCTTAAAGAAAAAAGAATGAAAAGAAATTAATTGATGTATTACACAGCGATATCACAAGCAGATTTACTTTTCAAGCTCTGCTTGAGGAAGAACAAGTAGGAAATCCAGCAATAATGCCCATATGCTTTAAAAACCCAATACAATTAAGGACTCAAGACCTGACATTATCAATTACAAGGAAGCCAAAGCCTTTTTTGCACTATATTGAGAATTCCATCTTTTTGTACAGCCCTAGAAAGGTCAGCAACCTACTCACCAGACTTTGAGAAACACTAATGTCTTATCAGATGTGCTTATGTGGAGTCCACTTCCGTTGCTATATACTTAATCACTTAAATGCACTTGGAAGCAACTCTGAATGTAAAAATTTACACGTATTTTAAGCAGAACCCAAATCAGAGAAAACAGCATATCCTAGTCCTCCCTCCACTGACACAGTTCCAGTCTGACCAGCTCTCTCTCCTAACTGGCCTCCCACCTCTGCTCCATGCCTAACCCATCTCCCCTGCAGCCTACTGAATACTTCCTGAAATGCAAAACTGGATTAAGAAAGTTGGCTTAAACCTCTCAGTGGCCTCTACTGCTGGGGATGAGTCTAACCTCCACAAGATGGCCCATGTGGAGATGATGAGCTTCTACCGTACCCAGCCCCAATCCCAGGAAATGCATGGTGGAGTCCTGAACAGGCCAAGCAGAGGTTGGAGAGGTCCCTCCCACTGGACCCGTCTGCCTGGTAACTTATGTCTCTTCCAGATTCATCCTGAATGTCACCTGCCCCTTCTCCCCTAAAATGACAACCCTATCATACCACACATCACACCTGTCATATAAAAGCATAAGTAAGCCCAGGAATGCCCCACAGAAAATCAGAGAATACACACACCCATCTATTTTACCAGGAGGTAAAGCATGTAACACATTACTTTTACAACAAAATTAAATGGACCTATTACAGGTAGGCCCAGATCATGCACTCCTTCCATGCCTCAGTGGACCAGGGGAGAACACAGCATTCACCATACCCACACAACTGCAAATTGACATCTCTTAAGGTTATTTCTTAAAGTTTACCTCTGTTTCAGCCTTGGAGTCTTTAAAAGTTCCATCTGACAACTTTTTAGACATCTCCCCTGAGCTTGCTGACTATTAAAAAAAAAAAATTCAAACTTTAGAATTATTCAAATCCATAATATCCAAAAATACATCAAGATACTTTCTATAACACTGACCAACAGTGAAATCATTCTTCCCATGAGAACATCTCATCACCGCTCCAATTAGCCACCACTGTTACTGCTACCTGGATTCCCCAAGAGTCTTCCAAGCCAATGGCAGGGAAATCTCTTCCCGTAAGGGCAGGGTAGGTGGGCAAGGACTTCAGACACTCCTGCCTCTCAGGAAGCTACACGGAACACAAATCCCTATGCCATGCCAAACTTCCTGGAAACAGCCCAGTGAAACTCGGAAGTGAGGGAAGGAACGAACACCCACAGAGAAACTGCTCCTAGTCGCCTCTGCTGATCATAAAGGTAACTTTATCAATATAATGGGGCAATTCTTAAGCAAAGGCTTCAGACTTTAAGTGAGGAAAGCATTCTCATAACATAAACTACATAAAAACCATAAGCGGGCCGGGCGCTGTGGCTCACGCCTGTAATCCCAGCACTATGGGAGGCCGAGGCGGGTGGATCACGAGGTCAAGAGATCAAGACCATCCTGGTCAACATGGTGAAACTCTGTCTCTACTAAAAATACAAAAAATCAGCTGGGCATGGTGGCGCGTGCCTGTAATCCCAGCTACTCAGGAGGCTGAGGAAGGAGAATTGCCTGAACCCAGGAGGCGGAGGTTGCGGTGAGCCAAGATTGCGCCATTGCACTCCAGCCTGGGTAACAAGAGTAAAACTCCGTCTCAAAAAACAAACAAACAAACAAACAAACCGTAAGCACCATCTCATCTCATGCCTTAAATCAATTCTCTAGAAGACACATTTCAGAGTAGAAGGAGAACAGATTATCTTCACTGAGATTTTCCTCCAGGAAGACTGAAAAGCCAAGAATGCCTGTTCAATATTTTAACAATTCAATGTCCTCATAAGTTAATTATGAAGGTATCAGATTGTATCAGCAGTAATTACCCACGTCTGCAGGCTGGGTACTGCGCACGTGTTACCCATAAAAGAGGCAGTTCACGTGTTACCCATAAAAGAGGCAGTTAAGAGAGGGGCCCGGGACCCCCACAGGGCCAGTCTAACCTAGCACCTTGGCCTCTCAACTGCACTCTTAACTTTCCAAGTGTTTTCATATCTACTGTTTCACCTCTTCTTCGCAAAAGCCCATGGGGTAGACTACGGTCTCACCACCCTTTCTAGTAGACAGAAATAAAATGGGGAAGAGAATCAAGAATGACTGAGTTCTAACCAGGGTTAGAGCATGAGTCTCCTGACTCCCCAGACCAGACGTGACTGAAGTCCCTGGGAACTGCATTCCTTGGGAGGCATCTCACAGCAGCTCACACCTGCCTGGTACTTTTTACCAGAAGAAAGGATGCAGCTGCCTCCCAGATCCATGCAGCTCAATGAAGAAGCCCCCAGACTGTCCACAGAAGAGCCTGGCAGACAAAACCACCAAGCAAGATCCACGCAAATCTCACAGCAGCTGAAAAAGCACCAGCTTCAAGTAGGAAAGTATCACCTCACCATGGTCTCAGATGCTTTTAAACAAAACCATCATTCTACTTGGCTCTGATATGTTCCCAAATATCAGCAACTAAGATTTTCTTTGGAACTATTTCTCTCAACTTAAAAAGCCAGTTGCCTCATTAGCAGTTTTAGGGAACATAACGTGGGGACCCTCAAGCCAGAGGCCTTGAGAGCTGAGGAAGGCTGGCCCCTTCCTAGGCTGCCTCATGACAGCAGAATACAGCAGAATGTGCTGGTGCCCCAGAAACATCAGATCCATGAAAAATACTTTTTCTTACACCTCTGAAAAGGACCAAAAGATGGGGAATGTCTTTGTGATTTCTAAGACTCATAAGGAAAGGCAGGTTATGAGACATAGCATAGGGTACATCACTACAGGACGTGCAGAGGAGGGGGAAAGAGTGACATTTGAAATAGTAAAACTCCAAAGTGCCTTGTAAAACACCACGCTCAATTACGAACAAACCACCATCTTTCCTGATAGACACCCCCTTTCCCACTGTGACCCACAGATCTCAACACGGGCTTGTACTGATCCCACAAGAAAGCCTGGTTTACAGGATTTCCTCAGGGTCAGTCCTGTGGTGCCCACCCCCTCCCCTGGGCAGGCACACCCTGAAACGCAGTGCCACAAGACAAGATGGCTGTCCCAGGAGGAAGGGGTCACAGCACTAGCCAGGCCTGCCCCTCAGTGCCCAGCCAGATCAATGGGGCAGATCTAGACCCTTTCCAACATCAGCTGTCCTCCTCTCTAGCAGCTGGAGACGATGATTTCCACCAGCTTCACAGGATGCTTTACAATTTGATATCCTCCAAAGAACGAGTAGGGACCCACATAGTGGGTCCAGAAGGAATCCACACATTTAGGAAAACACTTTGAAACCAATAGGATTTTCTGGCCAACCCTAAATTTACCTGAAAATTTAGTTAAACAAGAATTGTAGTAAACTGAGGTCTTATTGTACTTATCTGCGAATGCCTAAAAGCCCTTGAAAGCAGCCCTAATCCTTAATAACTGAGCAATGTCCATGCTCTGAAAGACACCAGGCACACAACGCAGACTGCACATCAACACTGCATGCAACGCTAAAGGTGGAGACTGCTCCAAAGCCTTCACTGGCAATACCACGAGCAACACAAACGACACGAAAGACATGCGCAGGAGAAGCAATGCAAGCTAAAACACCTGCAGGACACGGACAAGGCAACCTGGCCAATCAGCTCAAACCCTGAAAAATGTTGATTTCTCTACATGCCTGGTGGGGAATCATTAAACTCTAAAAAGAGCAAGCATTAAGTAATATTTTCCTGCCTTCCTCCTCCAAATTATCTTCTACTATTCCCAAATCAAAATTCCACAAAGGGAAACCTCAGAAACCACTATCAATTGATCAGTTCCATCCAGAGTTTTATGATCTAAAAGGCCCATCATCCCTTGCCTGGATGCTCACTCCGGTCCACCACCAAATGTCTATTGTAAAGCTACTATGTGTCAGACCCTCCACCAGGCTGGACATCCAAGAGTGAACACGAGTGAAACCTCCCTGGACATGAAGTAGAAAAATGCTGGAAACGCACTGAATGATGCCTTAATAACTGGTCAGCTGAACAATAAACTTCTGTTAAGGGATGAACCAAAAAAAACACAACTGACAAGAAACAGGTATCTCTGGGTTTCTACTGAGAATCCAAGATTGTCATCATTTTAAATTGGCGTAAAAGGAAACCAGTTTCCTAGTCACATTATAAGATAAAAATCATGTTTGAGAACACCACAAACTCTTGCGAAGGGAAAGGCGGGTTTTCAGCAAGGCTTTACCTTTTTCTCAGGTTTGTCGTGCTCTCTGCTCTTCTCCCTGTCCGGGTCCCGGGCATGCTCCCCATTTTTCGCTCTCCGCCTGTCCCTGTCCTTCCCCGTGTCCCGCTCCTGCCCCCGGTCCCTGTCTCTCAGTCGCTCCTTCTCTTTTCCCCCCTCACTCTTTCTCTCTGTCTCTTTCTCGCGCTCAGGGTCTCGGTCCCGCTCCCGGTTGCCTCTGTCTTTCTGCCGCTCGCTCTCTGGCCGGGCCCGGGCTCTGGCTCGCTCGCTCTCCCCTTCTCTGTGTCTGTCTCCACCATTCTCCTTGGCCTTCTCCTTGGCCTTGGCCTTTTCTCTGGGCTTGCTGTCTTCTTTCAGTTCTTCTTTCTGCTTTCGATCTCTGCTTGTACTTCTCGCTTTTATTTCAGATTCTCTCCTACCCTATAAAATAAAAATAAAATCATTTATGAATGTTTTTACCGAAACTACAAAAAGACTCACTATTTGATTTTCAAAGACGTGCGACTTGCAATTCACCTCCGTATCTTTGTGAACGCTGGGCTCTTCTTCTTGCACATTCTTATTATCCGGTTCCTGAGATCTTGGGGCCAGTGAAGCCCGTCCTTTCACTTCTCCCTTCTCTCCAGCTAACACCCTCCGCACCGCATCATCGCTGGAGAGCTTGTCGTCCAAACGTAAAAAAATGAGGTGTTAGGTGAAATGTGATCAGCAGACGTAACAAGCAGAGTATCATCATTCAAAGATAGCTCATGAGACAGATTCAAAAGATAAAATATGTTTTGGAAATGTTATCTATTATATACAAAGCACAGCATAACTTGATAACTATTACTTTCAGCACTTTGGTCATTAACAGTAAAGTCCACCCAAGCTAAATGAATCCTGGTCCATCTACCCAAGCTGTCAAAAGTGAACGTGTGTATTCCAGGTCAATAAAGCTGACCCACACAACTCTACAAATACCTTAAACTTCTAATGGGATCATAGAATCCCAGCCATAGGTGCCTTAAGGTTTTATCTAAACACCTCATACCCATTAGGATGGCTGCTCCTAAAAAAACAGAAAACAACAAGCATTGGCAAGGATGTGGAGAAATTAAAACTCCCATGCATTGTTGATGGAAATGTAAAATGTTGCAGCCATCAAGGAAAACAGTATAACAGTTCCTTAAAAAATTAGGCACAGATTTGCCATATGACTCAATAATTCCCCTCTGGGTATTTATCCCCCCAAAAAATGGAAAACAGGGTCTTGAAGACATATTTGGATACCCATGTTCATAGCAGCATTATTCATAATAGCTAAAACGGGGGCGCAAACTGTACCATTAACAGATGAGTGGATAAACAAAATACGGTAGATCCACTACAATGGAGTATCATTCAGCCTTAAAAAGGGACGGAAATCTGACACATGCCACAACATGGGTAAACCTGGAGAATTCAGACTGCACATGAAGTGAAATATATTAAGTAAAATAAGCCAGCCAAAAAAAAAGAAAATACTCCATGATTCCACTTATCTGATGTCCCCCAGAGTAGTCAGATTCATAGAGACAGAAAATAGAATGAAGGTTGCCAGGGGCTAGGGGCTGGGAGAAGAGGAAGTGAGTGTTTCATGGGGACAGAGTCTGTTTTTCAAGATGAAGAGTCCTGGAGATGGAAGCAGTGATGGCTGCACAACTTGATGAATGAATTTCCCACCACTGAAGTGTACACTTCAACATGGTTAGGATGATACATTTTATGTTAGGTGGATTTTAACACAATAATAAAATTATGGGGGGGGGAATCTGATCTAATTCAAGCCCCGTCAAATGCAAAAACTATCCCTGACAGCCATCCAGAGTCTATGACACCTCCAGTCAGGAGTCCCACTCACTCACACACTCATTCCACAAGCACACGCTAAGTGACTGCCACGTGCCAGCTCCATGGGCCAATGACTCACCATGAACTGGGGACACAGACAGACACAACAATGAAATAACAGCCTTTAGGAAGCCACAGGGGCACCCAAGTCGGCCTGGGAGGGAGGAGAGGCCTGGGCTCAAGGCAGCACTCACAGACGCCACACTGCTGCTCGGTGAGGCTGGAGGAGGAAGGCAGCTCAGGCACTAAGAAGCCAGCAGGCACCAGGGCACGAGGCTGACGGGAGACAGCGGGCCAGGGCTGAATGCCAGGGTGCGTGTGACTGGAGTGGAGGGCTCAGGTGTGGGAAATGACAGAAGGACCTGAGGGGGAAAAGTAGCAGCAGGTCTCTAGGAGCCTCACAAGCCATGCCGTGGAGCTGGCCCGGCCCCAAGGCTACTGGAAGCCAGAGAAGATTCAGCAAAGGAGACAGGAGTCAGATGTGCTTTTTAGAAAGACGAGCAACATAAAGGACCCAGGAAGGGGATCTGGGGAGCCTGGGGACAGAGGCCAGTGTACCGGCAAAATCTGCTTCCAAGTCTCTAAGCTTGCATGCTGGACCCGCGCGAGGGCGAGGCCTCCCAGGAGTCGGCTGGACACCCCTACACACCTTCACGACCCACTGCTGCTGAGGGGCTGAAATCCACCTCTTTCCATGTGCATCACACTGAAGATTAGCCCCCAGCCAACCACCCACTAGATATGTGGAAAACTGTATTAACTGTACTCTCAGTACAAGCCCAACCTGCTCCTCCATGGCCGACTACTTGGCCTTCAAAAGAAGGAAGACGCTGGGGGAAGACCTTCTCCAATGTTCAGGCAAACATGGCCCAGGCTGGGCCTAAGCAGAGAAGCCTGAGGCCTGACACCCAAGTTTCCAGCCCACCGTGACAAGCTCGGGAAAGAACAAATCTACTCCCTGTACAACTGAAACAGCAACTGGAAGAGAGAGAGAGAGAAAGAGTAGAGAAGAGAGAAGAAGAGCGACAGGTAAGCAGACACCACAGGCTGGAGATGCAGGATGCGAACAGAGACCTCCACAAGACCCAGGGAAGAAAAAAAGCACTCCTGCGACACCCCAGCCCTGGCTGGAAGCAGCCACCTGTCCTCAGTGGAGCTCCAAAAAAGAGAAAGTCAGAGGGCACCAAAGCCTGGGCCTGCAGCCTCCAGCTGCCAGCTGGGCACAGAGTGCCTACAGCGTTCCTGATTTTATATTGAAAGCTTGCAGAACTTATATATAACAAACAAACACTTATTTGTTTTATTATTCGGTTTTAAATTACTCCTCCTGTATCTCTAGGGCTCCAGAAGGGGTAGGATCAGATTCAAAGCACAGCGTTTGACAGGCACCACTGAAAGTCCTTCCTGAAACCGTCTGCACATTTGAGTCCCTCACCCCGACTGCGTTTTGCTCAGGCACTAAGTTCAGAATGCCAGGATGGCAGTAGTAGTACCTTGTTGAGACAGCACTTTCCAATTATCTGGAGCAGCTCATTTGTTCTCTCGGGTTCATGCCCGGCCACAATTCGGGCTGGTTTTGCCAACAGTGGCTCTCCTGAAACCATTACAACCACGTCTATGGCTTTCTGCAGGAAGCTGATTTTTGCATCTTTATCCTGAAATATTTGCATTGAAAATACAAATATTATAATACTTTGAAGAGTCTGCATTATCTTCAGTATGTTCAACAGGCACAGGATAGTTTCTGTTTACACACAAAGCTATTTTTAGATATATAACAAATCTAGAAATACTGATCTTTACTGACAAAACAAAATCAATTCAGTAAAGCCTTTAATTTAGCCCAAAATTTAATTTAATTTAATTGAGGGCTAGCATTAACCTTTGAAATGTCAATTCCATTTTTCAGTGAATAAAAGTAGCATGACATGCAGTTGCCACAATGAGAAAATGAAATGAGAAAGGGCATAAACATCAATTCACGAATTCACCGACCTTGTATTCCACCCACGTGCAGCACAGAAATGACACACGCCGCACTACCCGGATGACAAAAAGTCCCATCCATTAAGCGAGGGGTCAACAGGAGAAGCCCAACTCCGACCTACCTTCACGTTATCGGACTTCATCTCGGTGTCTGTGTAGAGGCCCTTCATGAAACCAGTCATTCTAATCACCTTCAAGAGAGAAAGAAAGGCCACCACTGTCACCTCACGGACAGCCTCCTCATCAGCCTTGTCCACTGCACTCCACGCCTGGGAGATGTCAGAATTGACTGGTAGCCCAGAGCCATCCACTTACTCAAGAAATAATTGATGTCTACTACACGTGTGTACAGGGCAGAAGCCAGCCAGGTCCTCACAGAATTTAGTGTGGCTGTATGGACAGACGGGTAAAGATGACACCATCCAGATACTAAGGTAGCACTTAGGCTTGGTACCTAGTCCACAATCCAGGAGGGGGAAGAGGTGGCAGGAGCCCTTTCTGGAGGAATCACACCTAGATGGGGATCAGAAGGTTTACAGAAGAGTTGGACGCACATGCCGGACGGAAGAAAGTCCGCATAAGGTCCAGAGTCCTGTGCAAGAGACCCAAAGAAAGGTAGGATGGCAGGAGCCTGAGCCCAGAGAGACACTCAGGGCCTGGTACAGAGGCCCTGGGAAGCCACTCAGGGCCATGAACTGAGCCCAAGGACCACGAGGAAGGACATGGACAATTCTAAAGCAGGAAAGGGCCTGGCCACACAGCGTTTTACAAGAATCCTTCAGGTGCAGTGGAGGGGATACATTCCAAAAAGAAAAGGAACTTTGGCTGGGCACAGTGGCTCACACCTGTAATTCCAGCACTTTGGGAGGCCAAGGTGGGCAGATCACTTGAGGTCAGGAGTTCAAGATCAGCCTGGCCAACGTGGCAAAACCCTGTCTCTACTAAAAATACAAAAATTAACACCGGGTATAGAGTGGCATGTGCCTGTAGTCCCAGCTACTCGGGAGGCTGAGACAGGAGAATAACTTGAACCCAGGAGGTGGAGGTTGCAGTGAGTCGAGATCATGCCACTGCACTCCAGCCTGGGTAACAGAGCGATACTCCCTCTAAAAAAAAAAAAAAATTTGTGAGGAATAACGGTAAGTGACAAGAGACACGAATATCACAGGATCCACGCTTAGCTTAATGAAAGGGGTGGTTAGTTTTAGCTATAGCTTAAACACTAATACAGTGATTTGAGTATAAAATTTAGGATAATAAAGCATTTTCATAAGACCCTTTCCACCTATTATCTGAAAATGCTTTCCAATATGTCAGTCATTCTAGCCTCTTTATCAACTAGGTGACAATTCCTGTATTGATCTTTACACAGGAAGAAAAATGAACTTTGGCATTAGATGAAGAAGTCTCTGGGAGAAGAGCAGACCAGTCATTCCTAATTGGGAACATACAAGTAGTCCCACACCCTAGCCACCTGGCCAGGAAGTCAATCCTTTTTTTTTTTTTTTTTTTTTTTTTGAGACAGGATCTTACTCTGTCACCCTGGCTGGAGTGCACTGGTGCAATCACAGCTCACTGCAGCCTCAACCTCCTGAGCTCAAGCGATTCTCCCTACTCAGCCTCCTGAGTAGCTGGGATTACAGGTGCACCACCACACTCAGATAATTTTTGTATTCTTTGTAGGGATGGAGTTTTGCCATGTTGGCCAGGCTAGTCTTGAACTCCTGGGCTCAAGTGATCTGCCTACTGTGGCCTCCCAGAGTGCTGGGATTACAGGTGTGAGCCATCACACCTGGCCCATGTTCCTCCTCCTTTCCCATGAGGATGCCTCCGACCAGCTATGCAGTAGCGACTGGACAGCCACCGAGAGCTGAGCAGCACCGCTACCCCACAAGGATAAGGCACACTCCCTGCACCTCACTCCTAGGGCTCTGCATTTCGGTGGGGCAGACAGGACTGGGAGAAGATTAAAGGTTTTGGCAGCCACAGCTGCAGTGGTTTGGGCTCATATTGGCTCTTACTTGTTTTCTCGTGGGGCAGAGGACGTACCTGTCCACTTCACAGGGGTGACGCGCGCACTGTCCTGCTCCCACAAGCCTATCCACACAGCGGGTCCCCTCCCCACACACTGCCCAGGACAAGCTGTAAGTGCTGAACCAGTTGGGAGGACATAACCAGGGCTGGCAGTGCCTTGGGATGTGGATGGATTCGAGAGCATTTTTAAGCACTGTTTTAACACAGAGGCACACGTTCCAGGATAGCACCCGTTATAAGCCAAGGTAGGAGGGCAGAAACGGAAGAGTGAAGTCTGTGCAAGAATAAGGCACCCAACTTGCTGAAAAGAGTGAGAACTAGAGCTTAAGGACCATCACCAGGTTAGGTCATGAGTCCCCTGGAAGTCTCCAAGTCCAGCCTGAATCCTAAATCCCAGAACACACCTGAGTTCCCATGTGCCCTTGGGTGCACCCCGCAAATGGGTGCTGCACCCCCTGCAGCGACGCTCCTGAGAGTTACCAGGGCGTTACCAGGAGCCGTGACAGGTCCCACGCAACAGGGGATGTTTGCTGTGAATTTCTATGTACCTGATCCAGGGCAGATCACCACAGCCATGCTAACAAGCAAGCCAGGGTCTCCGTCACTAAGGAGCATGCCACCCGCAAGCGGGGAAAAGCCACACAGATCACCAATCTCAATTTACGGCAGGCTGTGCGGCTCTGTTAACAGTTGTTCCTGCCAAGTCTCCCCACAACCACCTCCACTAAATTCACCCGCAGGCATTAATCAAGCACCCAAAATGTGGTATGGAGAGCAGCTTCGAGGCGGGAGGGTTGTATAAAAAATATTATTTCCATTCTCCCAGGATTTAGGGAGCGCCTTCCATGTGTTACATGCTCCAGGGCAGGCGAGAGGGGTTCCACAGGGTTACACAAGGAGGGAGTCACAGGCAGAATGGAAGATGCACTCTGAAGAGATACACGGACAGGCAGGGAAGAAGTTAAGAATGCTCCCCGAGGGCCCGGAGCCTCCCTGTAAGCGGCGGCCGGGAGCCGGGGGAGGGGTGAGACTTCGGCGCGGAGGGCGCCGCGGAACTGGGCCTACAGGCCGGGCTCCGGCGCAGGGGCTGCACCGAGCTCTCGCCCCGACCCCGGAACTGACCCCAGCCCCCTAACCGCACCCCCCGCCCGGCCCTGACCCGGTCGCCGACCTGCACCCCGACCCCGGCCCACACTGGGTCCACACTCGGCCCTGACCCGGTCCCCGACCTGCACCTCGAGCCCGGCCCACACCCGGTTCACGCCCGGCCCGGCCCCCGACCCGCACCTGAGCCCACCCCGCCTCGCACCCGGCGCCACCCGGCCCAGGCCCTGACTCCGGCGCCCACCGGGACCCCGATCCGCCCCTGGCCGGGCCCAGCCCCCGGCGCCCACCTCGGTGATGATGTCGTGCAGGTAGCGGAACGGGGGCTTGCTCAGCAGCTTCTCCGTCAGCGGCGGCCTCCGAATCACCTTCCCCAGCGCCTCCTGCGTCCGCCTCACCACCGCCGCATTCATGGCAGCGTCCGCTGCCCGCGCCCCTCAGCCGACCCGGCCGAGCCTAAGCCCGGGTCCCTGGCCGCCGCCGGCCCCGCCGCCGCCGCCCGGTCCGGCCAGGACGCGCCGCTCCGGTTTCCATCCCACAGTGCACCGGAGCCCGCCACGGCGCCTGCGCGGCAGTCTCGAGGCGTTCGGTCGCTAGGGCTGCGCGGCCTTAGCAACGGACGCGCCGCGGCGCCCCGCCCCCGTCTTACCGCCCTGCGCCGGCGCAAACGGGTTCCGCCGGGAGGTGGGGGGAAGAGGAGCGGCCGCGCCTGCGCAGGCGGGGCGGGGCGGGGCGGGGCAAGGTGGTCCGGCGTCCCGCGCCTCGCCCTCCTCCGCGGAGCGACGGCCTCGCCGAGTGGGTGTTCGCTCGCGTTCGAGGCCGCCGCCTGCGGACTGATGAACAGCAGGGTGAAGTCCAAGATCTGTGCTGCCTGCTTCCCAGATCGCAAGGGCTTTCGCGGGCACTGGTTCATCGGAGAGGACGCGGCTGTTATCCCAGAACACACGGAACAGAAAACACACTGTCCCGGCCGGGCGCGGTGGCTCACGCCTGTGATCCCAGCACTTTGGGAGGCCGAGGCGGGCGGATCATGATGAGGTCAAGAGATGGAGACCATCCTGGCCAACATGGTGAAACCCCGTCTCTCCCGAAAGTACAAAAATCAGCCGGCCGCGGTGGTGTGTGCCTGTAGCCCCAGCTGCTTGGAAAGCTGAGGAATCGCTTGAACCCCGGGGCGGGGTGGGGGCGGGGGTCGGGGCAGAGATTGCAATGAGCCGAAGTCGCATCACTGCACTCCAGCCTGCGCAACAGAGCAAGACTCTATCTTTAAAAACAAACAAACAAAAAGTATAGAATTCTAGCTTAACTTTTTTAAAATTTTTCAATACTTTAAGGATGTTACCTCATTGGCTTCTGGCTTGCATAGGTTCTGAATAAAAGTCTTCCGTACAGCCAGGCGTGGTGGCTCACGTTTGTAATCCTAGCACTTTGGGAGGCCGAGGTGGGCACCTGAGGTCGCGAGTTCAAGACCAGCCTGACCAACATGGAGACACCCCGTCTGTACTAAAAATACAAAATTAGCTGGGCATGGTGGCACATGCCTGCAGTCCCAGCTACTCGGGAGGCTGAGGCAGGAGAATCGCTTGAACCTGGGAGACGGAGGTTGCAATCAGCCAAGATCACTATTACACTCTAGCCTGGGCAACAAGAGTGAAACTCCGTCTCAAAGAAAAAAAGTCTTCTGTAATTCTTTGTTCTGTCTATTCTGTTTCTGGCTGCCTTCAAGATTTTACTTGTATTATTGGTTTGCCAGAAGTTTGCACATGGTATATCTAGATGTGGGGGTCTCTTTTGCCTAAAATTTGTATTTTATTATTTACATACAATAAAATTCACACATTTTAAGTATGCAGGTTGATACAGCTTGGTAATTATTTATAATTATGTTACCACCACCACAATCAAAATATACAGCTGTCCCTGCACCCTAAAACATTTCTTGCTGCTTATCTGCAGCCCATCTCCTTCCCCACCCGAGCTACAGGCAACCACTAATCTGGTTTCTGTCGCTATAATTTGGCTTCTTCCAGAATTTCATATAAATGCAATCATATAGTACATAGTCTTTTATATTTTATTATTTCTCTTATAATATTTTTGCCATTCCTTTTTGTGGCTGAATGGTATTCCATAGTATAATTTGTTTATTCATCAGTTGAGGGACATTTGGGTTGCTTTCAGTTTTTTATTTTTTATGAACAATACTGCTGGCTAGGCACGGTGGCTCACACCTGTAATCCCAGCACTTTGGGAGGCCAAGGTGGGCGGATCACTTGAGATCAGGGGTTCAAGATCAGCCTGGCCAACGTGGTGAAACCCAGTCTCTACTAAAAATTCAAATGTTAGCCAGTCATTGTGATGGGTGCCTGTAATTTCAGCTGTTTAGGAGGCTGAGGCAGAAGAAATGGTTGAATCTGGGAGGCAGAGGTTGCAGTGGGCCGAGATCACACCACTGCACTCCAACCTGGGTGACACAATGAGACTCTGTCTCAAAAAGAAAAAAAAAATGCTGCTATGACCATTCACTTATAAGTCTTTGTGAAAGTTTTCATTTCTCTTGTACTGGAATTGTTGGGTTGTATGGTAAGAATATGTTTAACTCTGCAAATACTACCATACTGCTTTTCAAGTAGCTGCATCATCATTCATTCTCGCTAGCAATATGTTGAATCTCAGGTTGCTCCATATCCCTGCCAACATCTGGTATTATCAGTCTTTTTCACTGTTGTTCTTTTTTTTTTTTTTTTTTTTTTTGAGGTGGAGTCTCGTTCTATCACCCAGGCTGGAGTACAGTGGCATGATCTTGGCTCATGGCAACAGTGATTCTCCTGTTTCAGCCTTCTGAGTAACTGGAATTACAGGTACCCACCACTACACCTGGCTAATTTTTGTATTTGCAGTAGGGATAGAGTTTTACCATGTTGGCCAGGTTGGTCTTGAACTCCTGACCTCAACTGATCCACCTGCCTCAGCCTCCCAAAGTGCTAGGATTACAGGCGTGCGCCAGCATGCCCAGCCCATCAGTCTTTTTAACATTCGTCTTTCTATGGGTGTGAAATGGTGTCTTGTTACGGTTCCTATTTACATTTCTGTAGTGATTCATGATTTTGAGCTTATTTCTTTGCCTTTGCTAGATACTCATATATCTCCAGTGAAGATAGCCAGCCCATCAAGCACCATTCAAGCATGTACTGAATCACTGCTATATAGAGAGTACTATCCAGGTGCTGTGGATTTCATGGGGAATTAAGACCTTTCAGAAGGCAACGTCCATGCTGTCCACTGGTCCTGGGAACATCACTCCCTGTGCTGCTAACTATATCCAGGAGCAAGTGAGCTTTGGTGGCCTGGACAGAGCCAGATGAAAGGGGCCAGGGCTCATCTCCTGTCAGCCTCACTTCCTTTCATACTGCACCTTGCAAGTGGCCTGGCTGGGTGACACTCGGCTGACAGGCTGGGAGAAACCCAGGAGAGAGACAGCCCATGATGGAGGGAGTTTAATGACACTCATCCTAAAGAACCATCCCCTGCTCTGTGGGGAAAACGAGCCCCCAAGGAGTGGTACTCTCAGAGGGATTCCATCCTGGCTGCCTCCATTTCTAACCCTGCTCCTTGGCCAGAGCGCCGCCAGCTCTGACCCCTGCCTCATGAAATCTTCCTGACTCTGGAAACTCCACTCCCCACCTGCAGAAGCTTTTGTGATTTTCCATCCATTCCCTTTCTCTCAGCACTACACTTCCCAGAGTCGAGGGTCTCCAGTTCAGACTCACACCACCCCGAAGACCTCAGCAGGACAGTTCGCTGTGACATTTGGCACTGCAGTCCCTTGGAACAGTCCAAGGTGACAGTGGACACTGGATCATGCTCTCTCTAGGGCTCCCAAATTCCCATTCTCCTGATTGTCCACATGTGTCCTTATCCCACACATACCTGCTTCCCGAGAACAGCATTAATTCTCAAACAGTTCATCAAACCCCGTAAAGAGAAACAAAACAGTTTCTATACTGCCCTGTCATTTGCAAACATCCCTCACCCAGTGAAACTAACACTTCACATGAACATGAAGAATGCTGTTAGCTCCCTTCGTTCCTTCATTCCACCTTTCCTGCCCACCACCCACCCCCTCCTCAGGCCCCCCTAAGGGTTTTCACAGGAAGGAGCCTGGTAAGACTGTGCACTTCTTCACAGCTGGGCCTCATTTCACAGAGGCCGGCCTAAAGCTCTGAAACTATGAAGCCCTTCGACGAGGCTGCAGCAGCCTCCTGCCCCCAGGCGCTGGAGAGAGGGCGGTCATCTTCGCAGGACGGACAGGTGAGACCCTCAGGAACGCTGCACCAGGTGCAGGTCATGCTGCGGTGGCTGACAGCGGTAGTATCCTCCCAAGCTGGAGGAAGCCCAGCTAGGACACCTTCTCTGATCTGTCCACCGTGGCCATGCTGCGAGCCAAGATGCTCCTGCAAGGGCCTGTCCCTCTCTGAGCTTTGAGCTGGCTGGGGTTGACCTGAGTGGTGGTGGAAGGAACATTCAGACCTCAAGCGCCCTGTCTTCTGAACACCGTTCCCAAGAGCAGAGCTCCCCAGCCCCCACCCCGGAAAGTTCCCTCAGGGCAGCATCCTCCTCTGGGCCTGATGGCCAGAAACCTGCTTGTCTGACAGTGGCCGGCCTGAGTGGTGGGAGAGGTAGTTGTGGCCTGGAAGCCTCTCGTGCCCCTGAGGTTCTGCCAAGCACCCTGAGCCAGTGCCACCCAAAGGGGAAGCTGGTTTCTACCTCTCCCCAGCCTGTGGAGAGCAGGAGCCCGTGGGCCAGGCCTTGTGGAGTCCCCAAGGGCCCAGGGCTTGGCTGCTCTCTTTGGACCTGTGAGCCATCGGAGACCCTCTAGTCCACCTGGGCATCGGGAGCTCTGACGGGATCTGGAAGGGGGGAGCAGAGTCACCCAGTCCCACCAAGATCCTGACGGGGAGGCGGCCGGGGAGTGGACACGTGTCCCTGGATGGCGTTTGGGGAGCACGGACTCTCTTCCACGCCGTCCACTCTGTCTCCCAAGGCCCCACGCTGCCTGGAGGTGAGTCCTCACCCTGTGCACCGAGGGAGGGAGGACGGGCAGGCGTCCTGCGCCCTTGGAAAGCAGGTCTAAGAAGAGGCAGCCAAGGATTCCTGACTCCAAGAAAGAGACCTGCAACCAGGGCCTCCCAGGGAAGGAAGGTCCAGACAGCAGCCTGAGGCCTGCAGTTCTGAAGGCTCCAGACCAGGTAGGAGGAACGCCGTAGCCTAAATTACCCCTAAGCTTCTCAGAGTCCTCAAAGCATTGGAGGGAAAGGCAGGGAACAAAAAAAAGTCCAGATAATTGAAAAGAAAAGATAATTGATTAAACAACTATAGAAAATCACAGCAAAGAAAATGGAACATAAAAGGCTGGCAGGAGATGCTTTTGAAATGAACAGCTTCTGAATGAATGATAACCGTGGACCTGCCTCACTCCAGGAGAGAGAGGCCACAAAGCTTCCAGTGTGTCTCCCAGGCCCTACCTCCCCTCACCGGGAGAAAAACATTCCCAGAGACAAAGGCCTGG